TTTCACCAGTAACACCTCTCTACAGGAGTCAAGCCTTTCTTTAACAGCTCACGTTATGCTCCATCTTACGAGATCCTCCACCGGCCAACGTGATCCCACAGCCTCTTGGTGCAGAAAGGCCTGAAATATCCCCCCAACCAACATGACCTAACTGCAAATCAAGGAGATCATACACTGCGAGAGGTATGCTTTACGAAACCTGAGGGATGAGAAGTTGTACGAAAAACTATGTCACACTGCTACCCGCTCCGAAATTCGTGCTTTAAAAGCTAAGGGAAAACAGCAGCCGGAGCTCTCCCCAGGCCGCATCCGCCCTGCAACGCAGCAGCTGCATCCAGCCCTGCACTACAAAGTGACAAATGCATGAGACTTCCCCAGTCAGGGAGTGCATGAAAAATTTTAATTTGTTCCTGAAGGATGTGGAAGAAGACATATGATAAGCTTGATAAGGGTGAGAACGTGAATTATCGCAAGAGCTGCAACATCAGGCCAAAATTTCCTGTGTTTGGACTGACCGGGTACTCAGTATTTTGAGCTAACAGTTAAGTTTTTAATCTGTCTCGCTGCAACTCTAAACAAACACTAATTACAGAGACAGAAGTCAAAGACTGAAACAATTGTCCATCAGCATCATGTACTTTGGAATTTATATACATGCATGGAAGTAAATAGTCAATTTGTACGCTCGTGATAGCATAAATTAAGAAAGTTGCACACAAATTAAAATACTCAGAATTCAAATTTTTTTCCTCTCCATAATGCTCACTGTTTAAAAATTAGAATCGCGTGGGAAACAGCAACTGTGTATAAATCAGAGACACCTGCCAGCTACAAGATCACAGGTATTACGCCTAATCTACAATGCATATTATCCTCTAGCTACTTAGCTGTAAGACGTAGCAGATGCACGCCAGCCGTCTGCAACACTCGGCAAAGAGGGCACTGCAGGGACATTTGCCGGGGTCAGGGGGGTTTAACGTCCTACTCTTTGGCAGCAGGTGTAAAACGGCACCCGATGCCGTGCGGTGCTGGAAGAGTTTGTCCATTTGAGCCCTCGGTGACAGAGCCAGCTTTGTTGTTCTATTTTTTTTAAACCAGAACTTCAACCTTTTGATTTGCCGGAAGAGAAGTTGCCTTTATTGTACGGCTGCGTAACGGCCGAAGGGAAGGGAGGTGAATCTACGCTTTTACTGCGTCTTCCACTTTTAACAGTCTTCCACTTACCCAGATTAAGTTCCACTGGCTATTTCACTTAGCTTTGATTTTTTTTTAAAAAAAGACTATACATTTGGGGGGGGGGATGCATTTCAAGTAACACCTTTCCAATCAAAAAGCAGTTGCCTTCTCTTTTCTAGTACGCACTTCTTTAGTGGTATCTTACAACTTTATTTGAAAACCTGTTGCATGATCGAAGTTGCAAATCTCAATTCCCATGAGCTCTTGCAAAGTATTTTTACAATACTGACATATAAATTTTCCCCTTGCAGAAACTATGTTCATTTGAGCCTACCAGTGTATAGCAATCAAATTTTTATTCTTTTATCTTCAGCTCATTGGCTTGTAGCTCCCAGTATGGAAGGTAATTCATTTGTTAAAGCCAGCAGCCTAGAGAACATCTTCAGTTTCACGCCAATATCGTCAAATATGCTGCCTCAAGTAGTGATTACTACTCTATAAGGAAATAAGCAATGTTACCCAAGCAGTTCTAGTTTGGGTTTCCTCCCCTTTGCCATCTTGCTTGCGAGCTTTCACAAATCCCAGTCATGTTTTCCCTGTTTTGCTTTGCAGCTACAGGCACCAGAACTTGCTTAAAAGTCCCCCTCCTGATACCAACAGGACAAAGTTTCCAGGCAGGAGTAAATAATGTGAAACTTCTCACAACATTTGCAAGACAGGGCAAAAATGAGGCACCTTCACAATATTCCAACATGCAAGCAGATAATCACCTACTTGAGTGCCTAATTTTATTAGAGTGACGAGGACAAAAGCAATTTTTGTTTTGCATATCTCCGCGTGAGAAGGGATGGACAAACACAGAGATTTCACAAAGGCGGAGTAAATTAACTGCGTTTCTTCCACTTCCTGTTGCCAACAGAAGTGTCCGACGTGAAAACTGTCCCTTGCCGCCCCTCTCATAAAAATGAGTAGCTGCACTGGTTTATCACGAAGCACTGCATATATGTTATATGAACCTATACGTTCTATGAACCTATTCATTTTCCAATCTTGGAAGGTATGCGAAGAAATTATATAAGCTTCGGGAAGCCTATGGCCATAACCTTGTGGTCTTATTAGACTGAACAGCGCTGTAGGATGGATGGCAAAGGTAATATATCGAGACCAGGAATCTCATCTTTTCAGAAACCTGCCTGCACACGTTGTTCTTTAAATTTCCGGGAGTCTAAGAGGAAAAAAAGAAGCAGATGCAGTTTCCAATATGAGAATACTAATGAGAGGTTCTCTTATCCCCTTTAACTCTCCTCGACTATTCTCTTTGAGGGAGCACTAGGTCAATGCGTGAACTAACGCTCACGCACAAAGACTAGAGAGGCACGCTGCAAGCGTTTCAGTGCGAGCTGCACAACCCGTTAAGGAAAAAGCCCAAACAAATATTGCATGGGAGGGACGCAACAGAATTCAGGGCCAATTACGGACCTTTGCTGTGGTTCTTTCCCCCGTTTTAATTGTTCAAAATCAGACCTGATGGCTAAATCAGAAAATTTATAGTAGGCTATTTAAGGTACCTTAAGGGTAACTTCATTTTTTCTAGTGTGTAAGAGAACACTAACTCATATAAATAACAAAACACAAATCTAATTTGGGGAGGGAGAATGAATGGGAAGGAAAAAAAGCCCCCAACCTCCCCACCTACCCTTACTGATTTCCATGAAGCCTTTAAGGTACCCCTGGTAAACCTGTGCGGTAGTACTACAGTTATAGCACATGCTGGAAACAAGATGCTCTGGCAAACATAAGACCCAGTAAAGCCTGCAGTGATCTCAGTGGCTTCACAGGTGTAATATTTTAGCAATAAAAATGCATACAGGTCAACAAAGCAAACACTTTTTACACTGGGATTTATGCTGGGATCACGAATTCACACACTATACTGCTAAAAACCTACCTACTTTTTATTTGGTAACAACCAAAAGCGAACAAAAATAGTATAGCTTAATTAAGGGAATCAATCTGGTCTACTCTGCTAGCAACACAATCTTGTTGTTTCCGCTTATTTACCCCTTTGGCATGCTAGCAGAACACGCTTATTTGAACGTGTAGAGCAAAATAGACTGGGAAACAAGGTTTGAAGGACAAAGGATTCCCTGCTGCAAACTGGAATGTTGGTTTTAAGCACTTACCTCCCCCAGATTTGTCTGAAATGTTCCAGCAAGTTTTAAGTTACATTTACAGTCAAACAGGTGCAGGCTTTTTGGGATAGGATTAGCCTATGCAGGTTTGTTTAAACACGGTACAATAGAAATTCAAACCACGTCAGGCTTCTAGATGAGCGCTATCACAACGTTAAGGGTTAAAGGAAGTTGTATTTGCACTTGTATTTGCTCACTCACAGGCTGCTGAATAAGCATTTAAATGTCACCCCTGCATCACGTTTATAGTAAACCTCTCGGTCACAACAGCTGTGAACGCTCTATTACAACGACAGGAGGCAATACGTGAAAAACTTGAGTGCCAAGCTTAAACTCGCCCCTCAAAGGCAAGACCTGGAAGTCTCTATGCCTTTAAAAAATATAAAGTCAAACACAGCAAGGCACCCCTCACAAAGCACGCTGCCTGTGCTTGATACGTGCTTAGAAAGGGCGTTAATATTTAAAACAAACAAAAATGTCACAAAGCCCAAAATAACCTTAAGCCACAACGCATTTCTTCACCAGCTCACCAGTACCTCTGCCTTGGTGGGGGTTTTTTTTGTTGTTTTTTTTTGGATCATCGGGGTATCCTTCATTGGTTAGCCAGGACAAAAATATTCTGTTATGCTTATGTTACCGGTTACGATTCTACAGCCTGTTGAGCAACGAAAGAGCTCAAAGATGCTC